AGCAGAATATATTAAGAAAGGGATGTTAAATTAATGATTGTGAAATCCACATTTTAAAGGGATATATATGTAAATGAAGTGGAGGTAGAATTTCTTCAGTACTTTCTGGTGAAACAAGACCTTTTCATAGAAGCAACTTATTCAGCAGCAGCAGGTTTGTTATGTCAGAAACTCAGGATTTACTGTGATCCCCATTTCCAATAATGTGACTCTAAGGCAGAGGGTGTCAAACATACAACCCGCAGACTGAATCTAGCTTGTGGAGCCCTATGGTTTGGTCCATGGGTCTCAGACTGACCCCACATACTGCATGGGGTCCACACTGCCCCGCCAAACTGCATATGGTGCATGAAGCTGGACTGGTGCACACTGCATAAAGCATGTGAAGCTGGGCCTGGTGCTGCAGGCAGTGCTGCAGCACAGGGAGATGGTTCAGGGCACACACTGTATACAGTGTCTACACGAGACTGGCCCTGCATTCTAGCTCTGGGCCTGGGCTGGATCAGGACTGCAGACTGTTGGAAACAGCATTCAGGGCCAGTCCAACATGGATACTACATGCAGACTGTGCCACATGTCAACTTCATGAGTTGTGTGCAGCACAAGCCCTGGACAGGATCTGGCGCATGCTGCATATGGTGCATGGGACACAAGTGCTGCATGCAGAAAGGGGGGGCAATCCAATGCATATGCTACATGTGGTACCCCACTGGGCCAGTGCTGCCCACTGGCTCTGGAGCCAGTCTAGACTGGAGCCAGTGCACATGACCAGTCTAGTGTGGGCACCTCATGCAGCGCACGCATCTTTTTTAAAGCAGAAATTCCCAAAATCCTCCTAGCTAATCTCTCCATATACAGTTCAGGTAAAATTCGCGATCTGTACCTGTTGGCCAGTAGAAAGCAAACTATTTGGAAAAATATGTTAAAAGGAGAGCTTTGCTACCATGAACATTTTGAAAGAAAAAATCCAGTAAGGAGATCAGAGAACAGACATTCAGTAAAACAAACTGCTCAGGTTTAATGTATATGATATGCACATTACTGAACATCTGGAGAGTGCTTGTTTTGCATGATCATGTATTAACACTTGCTAACCACTACAGCCAGCAGTCTTCAAACAAGCTGCAAATACTCAACTACTAAGGTAGGTTTCCCAGGCCTTTATAATTCCAGGGCCTAACTATGGCATACATCTAAATGCAGATAACAGTTCAAATCAATCACTGATTTTTACCAAGAAATCTCAAGCTTTTTAAGTTCAACTGCTGTAGAAACAAGGCCTAGGGCACAATTTGAAGACAAGGCATTAACATCAATTCTGTCCATTTAGGTCTGATACACCAGCCAGCAGCTGACAATAACTCTGCTACTAGGAACAACAGCCCAGATGCTGCCAGCCTTGAGATTGGTAGACATAACTCAAACTGTACCAACAGCTCTTAATATAAGACCATATGTCCAAGTTGCATGCCTTCTAAATCAATCATATTTTGTTTTTCTATTTTGGCAGAACTATCCTCACTCAGCTGAGCAAAAGCTCTCGCCCCACAGTTGTAGCCTTTGTGTCTGACCGACTGATACTTGCCTGTAAAAGCTTCTTCTGTCCATTGCAGCAGCAGCAGCTGTGATACTATGAGCAGGGCCAACAGAAAAAAGTCCTCCTGCCATGGTCCAATCCTGCTTCATTTGTAGGAATAACAAAACTGTGCCCCAAAATGGATGACAAGGATTGGGTGCTGTTGTTACAGGCAGACAAATCACAGGAGATCAAGATTCTTGCCAGTTGTTTTGCAAGCCACCTGTCAGAATCGACATGTGAGGAGATGGCAGGTCCATCCCAGTCGCACTTCCATGAAATTCTATTAAGACAAGTTAAACTGTGAGATTAGATACAAAGGTCACATCAAACACTAAAGGAGATGGTGGTGAGTTCTGAGGATAGGGCAAGATAAGCATTACCATAGTTACAAGGTCAAACTAGCAATCCATTTGGTGTGGGACTACATAACCAGCCACACACAAGTTTGAAAGATGGGCAGAATGCCACAGACCCAATGCTTCAATACACATACATGTCAAGAAGCCACCCATCATAGTGACTACAGCAACCCTGAACCCTCAGTTCAGCACCCAGAATGCCAAAAGGGCAGCCTTGAACAGGAGAGCCTCAGAACACATGCTAAGGCTGCTGAAGCACAGTCAGCCTGCGACTGGATTAGTCAGGCAAAATAGTCCCAACCATCCTCTTTTGCACCTTGGCCTGCAAGTAATCTACTGACGCAGTGCAGACCAAAGACATGGCAGGAAGGTCAGCACTTCTCTCCACAACTGTGGCCAGCTCCAGCTCAGAGCTGGTGGCCCCAATTGCCTTGCATACAATAGCCAGGACAAAATAGTAAGTGGTAGCAACGGAAAAGACTTTCCTAGCTACCAAGGAGGGGAGGTGTTGCGAGGAAAATCAGATCTGGTCATGTCAAATTGACTGAACTCCCACAAGCCTTTTTGAGATGATTCAGAATTCAATGATTGTGGCCTAAAGCTAACCCCAGTAAAATGCCACGGAATATCTAGAACAACAGAATAACAGAACCATAAATTAAGATGATAACATGGTAACCATTGGGACTAATTAATGTGGGAAGAGAAAAATATCAGGAAAATATTCTAAATGTGTAAGGATGTCCTATTGTAAATTTAGGATCTAGAAATCAAAATATCATATAACAAGCTTGGCTAGCCTTAGCAATGATGATGCCACTAAAGGGTTAAATAGCCTAAGCAAGTGAAATCACGGTTCGCTGTCTGCTGTTTGAATTGCTTGCATGGATTTCTAAAGGAAGACCAAGCCTTTGGACTTGGAGGAGCACAACCCAGGAAGCTTGCCAAGTACAGCTGACTGGGGGGAATAACTCCTGAGTAACATCTCTAGACAGACTGTGATGCGGTGAGGAATCACGTTAACACACTTAGTTTTTGGTAACTGCCTGCTTATATTCTGGCAACCCCAGTTAAGTTGACTACTTGTATACTAGCAACCCCAATTGATTAACTGCTTTGTGTTTAATGGATAATCTTGTAGTCAATAAAGCTTCTGACTGATTATCAGACAAATGTCATATAGTTCTCCTTGCCCACAGAAAAGCAGGGCTCAAGTTTCAGCCCAACAGGCTTGACTGCGACCCACCCGCACACATGCTCCAAATGGAGAGAGACCTCTGCTGAGCTGCCTTCCTGCTTCCTGAGAGCAACTCCTGTGGATGAGTCCAGAGCAGCTTTGTTAGGACACCTCTGAGCTGACAGTGCCTCAGTGCCACAACACGCTGCCACCAGGGACAAGCAACACCACAGCAGGGTGGAAAAGGCTCATACTGAACTGCTTGGCCTGGCGCTGGGAAACCCTGCTGGTGTTTCTGGAACATAACAGGCAGAGTCCATCAGACATCACTGCAGGGGCTGGAGGGGGTCACAGAAGTCGCAGAGAAGCAGGGCGGGCAGGGACCTGCAGAGCTCAAGTCCAACCCCTGCTGGGGGCACCACACAACAGGGGTGTGCGAAGCTTCAGTCCCTGATCTGATTCAGTGGAGATTTGGCCCAATTTGGTGGCTGAATCTCCAAATCTGAATCGAATCAGAGGACCCTTGAATGTCTCTGAATTGAATTGGAACCCTCCAAATCAATTCGGAGAGATTTGGAAAGATTTGGACATAGACAAGCTTTAAATGTTTTTTCTATATACCTATAGGTAGCAGGGGCTCATGAATGCTGCGATGCTGGGGCGCATGGATGGTTAGATAAGCATCTAGCTGCGGTCATCTAGACCCAGCCCTCTTTCCTGCCTATGCAGGGTAGCTGCGGTCAGCTAGACCCAGCACTCTTCCCTGCCTATGCAGGGGGTCGGACTCGATGATCTATTGAGGTCTCTTCCGACCCTAACATCTATGAATCTATGGAGTTCCCCAGTGCACTTGGCATCACTTACGGTGCATTTCTGCGATCACAAGCTGCATCTGCTACCTCAAGCTATGTAGAAAAAGCTTTTAAAGCCATGCCTGTGTCCGAATCTCTGATTCTCCGAATCAGCATCAAATCTTCAGATTCGGATTCGGCTGAATCGAATCAGGACAGTGATCGAAATTAACAAATTCAAACACTGTCTGTGATTCGGGCCGAATCCGAATTGAATAGGACCCGCTTTGCACACCCCTACCACACAAACTATTCCTTACACAGGCAATTGGGACTGTTCCTAAAATTACCATCCATCCTGACAACAACACGAAGCACGTGAACCTGCCACAGGGGAGCCGCAGCAGCCGCGTCCTGCTTCCATAAAAGGCTGTCAGAGCAGGCTCCAGAGACCCCAGACAGAGCCCCCGCCCTCCCAACTAACATGACCTGGGGTCAAAACTCCTCCCTGCCCTCGATCATGGTTGGCAACCCCTCACCTGGAGCTAGGGTCACCAACCCTCCGGGGCTGCGCAGGAGACCCCAGGAATTAGATCTAAATCTCCAGGAGACTGCTGAGAGTCACCCAGGTAGAGATAAATGACAAGGCAGTCATTACAATAAACGTTAAATGTTGAATCTGATTGATACGCTAGTCCAGCGGGTTGTTAAAATGTAACGGTCTTGTGCATTTGCCTTCCTGACGTAAAGTCATTAATGTCACCGTGTCAGGTCATGAAACCTCCCCGAGTAGAGTTGGCAACCCTACCTGCAGCACGGCGCGTCCCCGAGGCTGCAGGTGACTGAAGAGTCCCACCCTTGAGCCACGGACACTTGCACCGCCCTGTCCCGCAGCCGGGGGAGAGGAACGGGCGCGGCGGGAGAGCAGCGCGGGACTCACCCACCAGCCCGCGCCACCTCGCACATTCGGCGCGGCCCGCGCAACGGCCAATCACGGCTCGACTTAGCTGCTATTGGTCAAGAGGCGCCGTGACCACGCCCCCCCCGAGAGGGAGAGGGGCGCGCCTATCGTCCCCCCGAGCCGCTGCGCTATGAGGGTTCGTTTCTTGACGCATGCGCAGCGAGTCTCCGAGCCGGGCTAGGATGGGAGAAAGTTAGCCTTTGCGCATGCGTACGCTCGTCCGAGCCGCCGGTTTTCCCGCCTCGTTCGCACTCTTTGGCGGGCGGTTTGAATGCCGGATGTGACGGAGGGGGAGGGGCCGGAAGGAGCCGTTTGAAGCGCCTAGAGCTCGGGCCGTGAGGGCAGGTCGGTGGCGCGGGCGGGGATGGTGGTCGGCGGGGGTCCCTGGATGAAGGAGCCCATGGTCCTTTCCCTGGTGTTGTGTAAATGCGGCGGCTGCCCTCTCCTCCGAGCCGCAGCGCTCAGGCAGCCCCAGATCAGATCGCCTCTGGTAGTCACTTCCTCGGTGGTAAATCCTCGCTCCTTCCACCCAGGAACTAGTGATTGAAAAAAAAAAGCTGGGTTAAGAAAAGCTTAAAGCATAGCGCGCGTTTGGAGAGCCTTGGGACCGAAAACCAAAGTAAGTTGAAGGCTGCAGCTGACACCAGGCCCCCATACTTTAACGTAACCTTTTTAGAAAAGTCTTGTAAATAGGTCACAACAGGCTACGGACTGTATTAGGGGCCCAATCTTATGGGGTCCCCAAAGGCTCCTCTATAGATTAGTAAAGATTAAAGAAAACCACTCTATTCAATGGGACTCCGTGCTCAGACTAGACGATCCCATTAAGCGTCTCTGTGTTGCTTAGTTTCAGTTCTTAAACTGTGGGTTTGTGTCTCCAGTGATCCTGGGCAGACAAGGTTCTTTGGGGAGATGTGATATCATTTATTAGACCAACTAAATAGTTAGAAAAATGACTCTTTGTACTCTTTTGGTCACAAACACCCTTCTTCAGGCATAGGGAGAGTCTGTCTCCACAGGTAGCAACCTTGTTAACAGCAGTATTTGGAGATGAGAGATAACAGACCTGATTACCCACCCATCAGCCCTCTTGTCTCTCTGCAAGTTTGTGTATGCACAGTCAAGGCCTTACCTTTCTCAAAGTGCAAAATTTCAAGAAGTTAAATGAATAAAGGATATCAAACAACAAGAATGCACTTTTTGTAGAAAACAATGATTAAATCGAGGCTTCCTGGCCAATGATTTAAATGGTTGTTTAAATTATTTAATTCGATTTGATTTAAATCAAATTCACCCTAGCTTAAACACCTTTTAAAATGTTGTGATTTGGTGGAAGGGAATTGGATGCTCCAGAACGATGAGGATATGCTCATTGCTCACAGGAAAGTATTTTTCTGTCTCAATGTAAATTTTAACCAACATGAATTGTTTAGTAAAGCAAATGTTTGGTGTGCGCCTTTGCAGCCTTGCTAACCTTTTGAGTTTCAGCTTGGAAACATAATGAAAAGGAGAGCCAGAAGCGCATGCATGAAGATCCATAAATCTTGTAAATCCCTACAACTGTTTTGTAGAGATGCACCAATACATTGGTCCATATCATTTCGGCACCGATAAAAGGAAAATTGATGTTATCTGCAATCGGCTTTGTTTGGCCAATAATATCACCAATAAATGCCATATGCATCTGCGCAATCACAGCATGCAGGCAGCCAGGAGTGCAGCCCGGCAGTGGGGAGAGCAGTATCTGGCTGGTAGGTCTGTTGAGGGGGGGTGGGAAGGGGAGGAGGGGCAGATCAAGGCCCCCCCACAGTGAGGAAGGGAGTGGAGCAGTGGCAGGTGCTGCCCAGCTGGGGCAGGGCATGGGATGGAACCACAAACAGCTTGTCTTGCGGGGGTGGCTCCTGCCAGTGGAGGCACCCCAGAGTGAGGAACAGGGGGCACATGCCTCCCAGATCTGTGCGCAGGGCAAGGGCAGGCTTCGTGCTGGGCTCTTCCCGGCGAGGAGGTTCGGCCAGGACTGTGGTCAGGGTGGGCAGTGGGGCACCAGGGAGGGGAGGGTTACAGGGTAGACTACAGCCACCGAAAATTTGCCGTAGCGCCGCTCCCAGCACCACCGTCACCAGCCCTGAACACAGCCCCTGCCCAACCACCCAGCCTCAAGCACGCAGTGGCAGCCCACCTTCGCCCCACACACAGATCCAGGGGCCATATGCGTCCCCCAGGGATGCATGCAGCAGCAAGAGCCACACCCCATGCTCCCTGGATGCGCCACTTGCAGCTCAGTCCCATGCCCTGTCCTGGCTGGGCAGCCCCAGCCCCACTCCCTCCCTCACCGCAGAGGCTCAATCTGCCCCCACCACGCCCCTTCCCAGCCTTCCACGCTCTCCCCGCAACAGACTTACCAGCCAGACACTGCTCTCCAAGCTGCTGGGCTTGTATATCAAATCGGTATCAGCCAATATGGTTCATTAATAATCAGCCATTGGTATCAGCCCAGAAAATCTATCAGTGCGCCCCTACTGTTTTGCTATATACCCTCAGCTTCACAATAGTCCTTTCATAAATGATTTAGTTAATAGTCTAGGCTGCTCAAAAAATTGCTTTCTTATATATTTAAGGTTTGGAATTTACAAGCAGTTATTCACTTGAGTAAATATACAGTGAGTTCACTGAGACTGTGTATTATGTGTGAAATTACTTGTGTAAAAATGCTGCAGGAGCAGAGCTATGTGGAAAATCATAATACTTAACCTTTTTAGCACATAAAATATTGTACTAAGAGGGCACAGTGACACTGACCCATTTCTAGTCCCTTTTTCAAGTAGAGTACAACTGGACATGTTCACATAGTGACAAAATCCCCTTCTTGATTCTAGCCTCTGATTCCAACATTACATTAGAAATTACCTTCCTTTGTAACATGATTTCTTTGTTAGTAATTGTAGCTGCCACAAGAATTTCTTGGGATTGTGAGTGGGAGAGGTAACACACTCTATATGATCATGTGATAGGGAAGAGGCATATAGGCCACTAACCAATTTAAGGTTTAGTTCACCCTTTGCAAGAGGTTGAGGTCTCCTCCTACAGTAGAATGTTTCATTCTAACTAACACGTCTGAAAGACCATTTATTGATACTTGTTTCAGAAGTTTAACTGAGCTTACTATTCCTGGCTGCAGCGGATAGGCTTTCCTAGGCTGCAGTCTGGCAATGAACACCTGCTCCCTGCAGGATTAGCAGTTTAAGTAATAAGTACGTTTAACTGTAACAAATATCATGCCAAAACGCCCCCAGGTATTAAGAAAAGTATACAACCAGCATAAACTTTTGCAGCTCCAATTCGTAGCATCTTTATAGGTTTTTAGCATTATGCCAATATCTTTATTTCCTGTCAAAAAAAAATTAGCTGCAGGTTATTTACTATGTTTTTCAACATTGTTCTGACCCAGAAATCAAGTAGTCAACGTTCCCAAAGATGAAAAGAAAAGTGGCAAAAGCTGGGAAACTGAGACTTAGTCCCAATGAGGAAGCTATGATTTTGAAAGAAGAATATGAAAGAAGAAGAAAACTGAGACTGCAGCAGGTATGCTTTTAGTGTTGACAGCAATTTTCATTTATGTGATTGAAAGAAAGCACATCTGTAATTTAGGAGTGCACTTTAAAGAGCATTTTTGCACAGCAAAGGTGAAAAATTCTATAAACCAGGGTTATTGAACACTGGCCCACAGAGCTATGTGAGCTGGCCTGTGGGTCTCTGGACCATCCCCATGTGCCAAATAGGGCATATGCTCTCCCCGGTACCTCATGCATTGCACATAGCATAGTGGGGTCAGCCTACAGTGCTGCTTGCAATGCCTGTACTGGACCAGCTCTGCACACTGGCTCCAGGGCCAGTCCATATTAGGCCATGCCAAAGCTAGCGTGTAGGGCTGGGCCTGGAGGATGCTGCGTGCAGCATCCACCCCTTGCCAGCCCCGTGTGCTGGGCATGCAACCAGTCCAGTGCCTCATGTAGCTTGTGCCAGCCTAGGGCATACTCTGCATGCAGTTTGCAAGTTAGACCCAGAACTGCAGACAGCACAGGGAGTCCATATGTGATGCCCTGCCAAACCAGCCTTACATGGTGGTTTTGGCATAGCCCAATCCGACCCAGCCCAGTTCCAGAGCCAGCCTGTAGAGCCAGTCTGGCAGGGTGCCACATGCAGCACAGAGGGGTTGATCTGGTACCTGTGCTGCATGCAGTGCCGGGTCCAGCCTGTGTGCCATATGCAACACAAGCCCTGGAGCAAAGCCCATGCATGCTGTATGCAGCATGTGGACTAGACCCAGCACCAGGGGTGCTGCACATAGCACAGAGGGTTGTTCCCAATCGGCCCGGGCCAGATGAGTTTGACCCCCTGCTATAAACAAACTGCAAACATAATATGCACCTTGCTACATATTATTGATTTTTCTTTCTTCACATCAACTGCAAGAGCTATCAAGTTTTTGCAGTTGTAAGTCTTCTTGCATAACAGCCATCTCTTCCTTTCCAGCTGCTGCTAAAACCTTTACTAGTCCTCATTATTTAATTTCTCAGGTACTGCCATCTTACTCTTTGGTCTTCTGAATTTTTATCTCATTTCCCTTCAGGCAATCCAAAGTGCTCTCACTAAATAAAGTGTACTTTGCTTACTGTTCTGGCTAGGTCTACTTGCTCTTTAAATGCCTTGCTTGTTGCCTTTTGTACAGGGGATATTTTAAGCAACTTGTCATCAGAATGTTCTCAGCCTAACTTCTGACCATTTCTCCATCATTTCTTTTAATTGCTGTTTTGACCTTTTTTCTGGACAAATAGCATCCTTGTTCGTTTCTCTTGTCACTCTGTCTGTTTTTTTCTGAACTTCCTCTGCTCTCCCAAGTACCCTGATTTTATTTTAAACATTTTTCTTAAAGCATGCTTCTTCAAAAACCATACACCCTAACCTACTGACCCCTCTTAGCTTTTAGAGAAAAAGTACTGCCTCACTTGGAATAGTTTTATGTATTTATTAGTATGACTTCTGAATTTGGAAAATGGAATACATGATCACTTGGAGTTAGTGTCCTGAGGATATAACTAGTTAATGTGAATAGCGTTAACAATGGAAGAGACTGACAATCGTTAGAGAACTGGTTAAGGACCTTCTATAAGGCTGGCTACAGGTCTGGTAAGTAACTGACAAAATTTATAATTTTGCTCAATCAGGTTCGAGAGCAGGAAAGGTACATTGCCTTACAGATAAGACAAGAAGTAAAGCAGAGGAAAGATGAGGAACTGCATCAGTTGGCAGAAAACCTAAAGGCCGAGTGGCTGAAAGCCCAAGATCAGAAGATTAAAGCCTTGGAAAAGCTTTATTTATCAAGTCTAAGAGCTGTGGGGGAGGGCCACAGACAGGCAAAGGAAAATGTAAGTAAAGAGATTATGTGACATGGTCAAGACTCTCAGTATTTAATTTACCAAAATTGTAGAAGTGGCATATGTCACTGTTGCTTTTAATCTTAGAGTCATAGGGCACTTTTACACATGCTCTGGACGTGCGGGGTGTTGCATTTTAATTAGAGTGGCTCCGAGAGCTGCTCTAATTAAAGCACTGCCACGTCTCATGTATCAACATCCCCACGTTTAAAAATGGCAGCAGGGGCGCTTGAACTAAAGCTCATTCAAGCTTTAGTTCAAGTGCATCTGCCACCATTTTTAAGTGAAGGGATGCTCATACACAGGACTTAAGAGGCTGCTGGAGCATGGCAATTACTCAATCAGTTGACTCAATTAATTGAGTCTGCTCCGACACGCTGGAATTCCAACATGTCCAAGCAGCCTCACTCCTCATGTATAGGCACCCATAGTGCCTGAAATGGTACATGTTTAAAAAATTCCACATTTGAATATTTTTATAAAAAATATTTACATACTTTCAGTTGCAAATATGAATGCATGAAACGAAGCATGATATGAGGAACTACACAAGTTTTATTGACATAAATATATTTAATTTCCATGTTTTATAAAGGGTGCAGATTGTCAGGCCTTGGAGTTCGAGGCAGAAACTTATTGGCCTTTATGGGATTTCTTTTGCCTTTCTCGTAATAATTTGTACTATTATTGGAGTTGAGGTCCTGAACTAGATGGACAAGCGGTCTTATCTAGTAAGGCAGTTTGTTTGGCTTCAAAAGAAACATGTCTATAATGTGTCATAAACATTATGACCATTATGATGGTATGTGGTAGTACCCACCTTTAGGAAGACTGCATTGCACAGTGGCAATAAATCATCCCAAACTTATGCCTGTGTAATGTTTGTACTCCCAAATGCTAGCATGTCTAATCTCAAGTCATTGCTTATATGTATAAGAATGTCTGCGGAGTCCATCCCATGCAAAGCATCCTATGTCACTTACCTCCCAGTAAGAACCAAGCTGTCTGTTCTGGGATCATTTCACAGTCCTATTCATGGCTGTAAATACCACACATCCTTGGTATTTTTCCCCCTCTGACTTAGACAGGACTTGATTTGGAGCTCTCTGAAGTCTAAGGGAAATCTCTTGCACAATTTCAGTGAACTCTGAATCAGGTTTGTAGAGCCCAAACTCTACTACAGACTTCCTGTTCAACTTTTGCAAGCCATTTTGCCCCTGCCTCAAGTAAAGTACCTTTATTCCCTTTTGTATAGGTAGATAAACTATCTCAAAGTCCTTTGAGACTAATTTGCTGATTTTTAACATCATAGGGTGGGGAATTCTGTAGAAATGCATAGCAGTAAGATAATTGGTTAAAGCTATGAATCACAAAAGAGATTTCCTGTTGATTCACAAATTTTGAAATTCTCATGAATGAAAGAGGAGTTCCAGAAAAAGGCTGTGGTGGTTTGAGTTATATGAGCTATTAAAATATTGACGTTAGCAGTCAGATGCAGATGGAAGCTAAGGTTTCCATCTGTTTCTGTAATGGTGTGAGGGGGAACATTGCATATTGCTGTAACTAGTAATAAAGAAAGAACAAGAGGTGGAAAGTGATTAGTCATGTTTGACTCTTGTAGAATAGAAATTCGTCTTTGTCATGTCAAGCAAGTTGCTCTTTGCCATTGATAATACTTCACATGAAATATGTTGATATCATAATATCATAAGAAATAATAAGTGTCAAGTGTGTTGTTATCAGGCACTAATTACATTTTATTGTCAAGGAACCTGATTTGGAATCTCTGGCAAAGCAAAGAGAAGAAAGGAAACAAAGAGCAGAAAAGAGGCATAAGGAAGCTCTGAAAGAGCAGAAAAAACAAAAAGAAAAACTAGAGACAGAGCAAACATGGTATGAAGTTGTAATCTGTTTTTTATTCAAATAGAGTGCATACTGAAGTGTGCCAAGTGTAGAAGGCAGGAATCCTGAGACTTCTTTCTGAGAAGGCGTTTTAATTTAGGAATTGTATATAATGAAAGATTAGTGTGTGATAAACAGGGATCCTGGTTTTCTCTGGTTAAAAAAAATCCCCAATGTTTGGATTAAAAAAGTAACTCAAAATCCACATTTTTCTGTGATTAAAATGGAATGCCGCTAATATATAGATACTAGCCAATTGTCCCTCTCAGCCAGTTGGCGCGCACCCTCTCAGTGACTCATGCGCAGTTGGCCCAGAGCATGACAGACAGACTAAGGCTTTTATTATATTAGAGTATATCATAGAAGTAGGGTTGGAAGGGACCTTGTAGATCTTCAAGTCTGACCCCCTGCCTGGGCAGGAGGGAAACTGGGCTCAAGTGACCCCAGCCAGGTAGGCATCGAGCCGCTTCTTAAAGACCCCCAGGGTAGGAGCCAGCGCCACTTCCCTTGGAAGTTGGTTCCAGATCCTAGCCGCCCTAACTGTGAAGTAGTTCTTACGGATGTCTAATCTAAACCTACTCTCCAACAACTTGTGGCCGTTATTCCTTGTTATCCCAGGGGGCGCTAGGGGAAACAAGGTCTCCCCCCAACCTTTCTGGTCTCCCGTAGTGAGTTTATAGACGGTCACCAGGTCCCCCATCAGCCTTCTCTTGTGAAGGCTGAACAGGTTCAGGTCCCATAG